CTGCGGCTGCTGCTGGGACTGCGGCGGCTACTAGGTCTGCTGCGGCTGCTGAGTCTGCTGCGGCTGCAGGGACGGAAGGAGGGGCATGACCTGCTGGAGGATCTGGGGAGGGAGGTGCTGTGCGAGAATGTGGTGGAGAGAGGTAGAGGAGGGCTAATAGGCGGGGAGGGTATGAACATCAAAGGGACTGGGAGGTGGAGTGATAGCGGACCAGCGAGGGGGGGTGCCCGTGTTGCCTCAATCAAGCCACTCATCAGTGAGGGCCTTGAAGCATGTGGTGGTGGTGTGGGTGGTTTGGAGGCAGTGCTTACCCTTGTTGGGGCTGTTGCGGATGAGATACTGACACGGGGAGAAGCCACCAGTGCTGCCGGAACCACTGCTGCCTCCGCGTCCTCCACTGCGCCCCCAACCACGTCCACCACCCGATCGTCCGGCCGAAGTACCGCCACGACCAACACCACGTCCTCCTTTTGCTTGGGCAGCATGGGCCGTTGGGGGAGACTGGCGGAGAAGCTCTGCTTCAGTCTTCAGAATCCATGCAGCTACATAGGCGGAGTCGAGTGGGAAGCTGTCGTGAACTTCATTGAACGCCACGCGACGGGCCTCGTACATGGGTGTGAGGCTGTCGAGGAAACGGCAAACGATGAGGGAGTCGGGAACTATGTTGAAAAATACGCGTATTGCGTTTTATACGCGCTGGCAAAAAAAAAACCGGTGGGCAGCCGGGAGAGGGGGGGCCCGGGGGGGGGCAGGGCATCAAGTTTGAATATTTTTTTCTCCATTAAAATAACTTAACACAGGCATTTGTCACATCAAGAGCTTACTGCTAGCCCATGCCACTGCTAGCACTGCTGCTACTACTTCTACAGCTGCTGCAGCCACTCTCGTCCACTGCTGCTGCTGATTGGTCCACTGCTGCTGTCTGGTCCGCTGCTGCTGCTGTTACTCCCACTGCAGCTGCCTGCCCCCCTGGTGCTGCCGCTGCCACTCTCCCTGCAGCTGCCTCTGGTGACGGGTCTCCTGTCAGATCCTCCCCCTCCTCCTCCTCCAGGTCGTCCTCCAGGTTGTACCCCGTGGGCACAGGGGCCTCGAAGCTGCACCCAGGAAGGACCAAGGACCCCCCGTCCTCCTTGTGCCAGTTGTGGACCTGGTGCCAGTTGTGGGACACATAGACCAGGTCCCGACACTTTTCGGCACCGAGGCGGTTGCGCTTGGCAGTGTGGAACGCCTCCCACACTGCCCAGTTACGCTCGCATGCGGCCGCTGAAACGGGCTGTGAGAGCACCCGACAGGCCAGAGCGGCAAGCTCAGGGTAGTCGGACCCATGCCACTGCCACCACCGCGCCATGCTCTGCCTCCCCTCCTTCGCTGCTGCACGATCAGCAATGGCGGTGGGGAGCCCGAAGCTGCCCTTCAGAGTGATGAAGGCGTCGAGGCCGTCTTGCATCACGAGGGTTGCTCGAATGGGCTCGCCATCCCTCATGAACTCCTTGTCTTCGTAATGGTGGGCGATGAAGGCTTTGAATACCCTCGTGCACTCCATCTCCGAGGGGAAGATCACCTCCTCCTGATTGGCCGGGTTCAGGATGCGGCCAACCACATGGAGGGGGCACGCCATGCTGCCGTCCCAGCTCCTTTTCACCATGCGGCGGATGGCATTGGCGTCCGCAGCGGTGAGCCCCTCCAGCCGCGCCTCCTCCAGCTTCTCATCGACATCAACTGTAAGCTGCAGCATGAGGTCGTACATACGACCCATCATGCCCTTCGCGGACGAGTCGGTGGCGCGGATTGCCATGAACGGCAGCCGCATGAGGTTGACAAACTGCAGGGCCTTGGTCCACCAGTCGGAGTCGAGTATGGCAGCGCTGAACGCCTCGCTGCCAGGCTTCCTCCCCCCAGCCGCGAACCTGGCCCACTGCTCACTCAGCACAAGCTGAGTGAGGGACATCACCTCGCACAGCCGGGACACGGAGATGAACTGGGTGCCGAAACGCGTGCCGGCCAGTTTCAGCACCTGTTTCCCCTTGCCCCCCTCCACCTTGTCGCTCCGCATGTAGTTGCGGGTGAGGTGGTGCTTGCGGACGAAGGAGGTGATGATGGTGGCCTTCTCCGCCACCTCCTTCGCCCAGCCCATCCTCCCGATGTCCTCCATGAGGAGGTCGAGCGCGGTTTCGAAATGCTTAAAAATAGGATGCGACGCATCCATAACGTAAACAGTGCCAGAGGAGGAGGAAGCCTCGTCATCGTTAGTAGGTGCACGCACGCTCGCGGGGTTGATGGGGTGGACGACGCCATGACGACTACGGTGAAGAGTGGAACTGAGCTAAGCTAAGCTAGGGGAGGGAGTGGTTGGAGTTGGAAAATGAAAGGAGATGGTGATTCAAATCACAAATATGGCGGGAATGGGGGACGACAAACACGGGATGCCTTCCCTCCACGTCCACAGATGGTGAGGGGTGGGCGAAAAACCACGGGCAAAAATTTATGAGAGTTCGCGATGTCGCGAACTCGCCAAAAAAAAAATGAATTCTATAAAAAAAAATGCCGGGCAGCCCCGATATTGCGTATCGCATATTCCAAGCGTATCACCGTATTGCGTATATTCGCAAGCGTATATACGCAATACGCAATGCTTGCTGTGCGTCTTTTCCAACATAGGTTGGGAAGGGGCAAGGTGAAAAAAAACGGTGTTTTTTCAAAAAATTATCGTATTATACGGTATCGAAATTTTCGGCCGTATAATACGATAAAAAGCGGTCAAAAGTGCCATTTTGAGGGTGGTGCAAAAAAATTGTCGTTTTTTTTTACCGAATTTTTTTAACCCGGGCGGAATAGATTGCCGGAAATCGCGGATCTCGCATTTTGGCGGGCGAAATGCACAGATATCGCATTTCGCGTGCCAAAATGTGCGGATCTCGCACTTCGCCCACCAAAATTGGCCGATCTCACGTTTAGGTCGGCGAAATGCGCAGATCCGAAATTTCGCCTGTCGAAATGCATGGATCTCGCGTTTCGGCAGCCGAAATGCGGGGATCTGTTATGCGTGTGGATCTGGAAAAAAAAAAAAAAAAAACCAAACAAACAAGTAACAGGAATTTCGAACAAAAAGAACAGCGTTTTTTTCAGAAAATGAACGAGAAAAATGATCGTATTATACGACCCGTATAATACGAATACCGTATTTTTGCACCTTGGGAAGGGGAGAGCGACGATCGGCAAGGCGTTTGGCGAGGAGGCGGCACGTGAAGGAGAGGGCATTGGAGCAGGAGTCGAGGTTGATGTCGAGGAAGGCGCGGTGGAGCGCAAGGAGAGAGTTCGTGTCTTGGAGGTCATAGGTGGCACATAACTCTTTCCAAAACTCGGGAGCAGAGGAGGGGGTAATTTCGCGTTTGAGGGAGGAAGGAATGCATGCACACAGGATAGCGAGATATTTGCGGTTGGCAACGTTTCCGGCAGAGTGGCGACGACGGTACTCACGAAAGTTGTCAGCATACTTAGCCGTGGCGTCCTTGTGCTGCTGGAGAAGTGCGTTGGCAGCGTCGTGCGCAGCTTGCTTTGCGTCATACGAGTGCTGGAGGAGAGTGTACTCCGCAAAGTCCTTAACATACTGGTGCCGCACGCAAGCCCAGCGATCAGGGTCGTCGGTGTAGACCAATGGGGAGGGCTTGGTGGGGCCCAGTCCCGAGGGGGCCGGAGGTGGGGCAGGAGGTGCAGGGGAGACGTCAGCAGGACGCTCCGGAGGCTGCCCTGCATCAGAGCCGAGGAGAATGTCGAGTAGGCAGTAGTCGTGGAAGGCGTGTCGAAATGTGGCGGGAGGGTGGCCTCGAGATGCGGCAGGAGGGCCGCATCGAATTGCGGCCAAGCGCCGCGTCGAAATGCGGCCGAGCGCCACGTCGAAATGCAGCCGGGCACTGCCTCGAAATGCGGCAGGAGCGCCGAACGAAAACGGAGCGACTAAGGGCATGAGGAGGGGCGCTTAAGGGCGCGGGGAGGGGCGCATAAGGGCGCGGGGAGGGGCGCTTATGGGCGCAGGGAGGGGCGCTTAAAGGCACGGGGAGGGGCGCTTAAAGGCGCGGAGAGGGGCGCTTAAGGGCGCGGGGAGGGGCGCTTAAAGGCGCGGAGAGGGGTGCTTAAGGGCGCGGGGAGGGGCGCGTAAAGGCACGAGGAGGGGCGCTTGACGGTGCGGGGAGGGGCGCGATGGGCGCGAGATGGCTAGGGATCGAACGACGGAAAGGCGTGAGCCATAAGCTCTGAAACCATGTGAGAAACTGAAGTGATGATTGTATTAGGAAAGGAGCGGGTATACATAGGTGAGGAGCAGGAGGGGGGTTGGGTTGGGAGGTGACCACGATTATTGGTGACCCCAATAATTTGGTTGGCCAACTTATTGGGGGTCCAATAATCCTAGCCAAGATTATTGGTGGGTCCAATAATCTTGGATGGGATAATTGGGGGTTCCAATCATTGGGAGCCCAACCCCCAACTTGGGTGTATACACCCTAGAGGGGTGCTTATAAGTACCTAAGACAATGAAACGATGTAGGCTAATAGAATGAAGGGAGAATATTCTAACACCCGGCGCATGATCTCAATCCCTCCCCATCATCAGCATCAGCATCAGCATCAGCATCACCATCAGCATCAGCATGAGCATGAGCATGAGCATGAGCATCAGCATTAGCATCAGCATCAACATCAGCAGGAGCATCAGCATCAGCATCAGCATCAGCATCAGCATCAGCATCAGCATCAGCATCAGCAGGAGCATCAGCATCAGCATCAGCATCAACATCAGCAGGAGCATCAGCATCAGCATCAGCATCACCATCAGCATGAGCATCAGCATCAGCATCAGCATCAGCATCAGCATCAGCATCAGCATCAGCATCAGCATCAGCATCAGCATTAGCATCAGCATCAGCATCAGCAGGAGCATCAGCATCAGCATCCGCATCAGCATGAGCACCGCCATAACCATTGCCATGAGCATGAACACATACAAGGTTGAAGATAGTGATGGCGTCATGGAACTGCTTCTTGCGCATCTGCCACACACGACATTACCCAGCAGGGCTCCAACCAGAAAGCAAGCAGGTGGATGGAACACAGTTGAAATGAGAGTGGGAAGAAATGCAAGCAACAGGCGGAGCAGGAGAACAGTCGTGGCACACGGCAGCGCACAAGGGACTGACGGAGCGACCTGGGCGAAGGCGAGCTGCAGCAGCGCGCTGTTGTCCACCACGTGCTGCACATTGCCCTCGTCGTCCACGTACTCCTCCACCACCGACTCCCACGCCACGTCATCACCCCCAATGCCCCTCCCCCCATTCCCTCCCCCACCACTTCTCTTGCTCTTGCCATTGTTATCGGCAGCCTCTTTTGCACCCTTGCGCCCTGCTTTCCACTTACTCCTACCTGCCCACTCCTTTTCCTTTTCCACTTCTTTAGATTTCCCCGTGCCCACTCCTCCACCCTCACCATCCCTACCCTCCTCGCTCCCTCCCCTAGAACCCTCTACCCCCTCCTTGCCTACGTCCTTCCCTTCACTCCCCCTCTCTTTCGTCCCCTTCCCTCGCCTTGCATTTTTCTTCCCAAAATTCCCCTCGCCCACTCCCCCACTGCATCCCCCCCCAGCGCATGGGGAGGGGCAGGGGGAGGGGCTGGAGGCGGAGGAGGAGGCGCAGAGAGGGTGGAAGAGGGGAGGCGGGGGGGGAAAGGGGTGCAGGAGGACGCAGAGGTCGAGGCCCGCCAGGCGGCCGGAGGGAAGGGAGGAGGACGTGTGGCAGGGGGGAGGAGGGGCGGAGGGGGCGGTGGAGGAGGCGGTAGTACTAGAAGGGGTGGGGGGGGGAGAGAGAGAGTAGAGCTTGGTGCCTGCCACGCATGGGGGGACGGCACAGGGCGACATGAGTGAGGACAGGAAGACACGGAGACTGAATATGCACATGCGTCGAGCGAGGGAACGCATGGTGACAGAGGAGGCGGGAGGCTTTTCCTTGACCAGCATCCGCGTCTTCACCCGCAGCTGCACACCAGCCCCACCCGCACACAAGCCCCATGCACGCACACCAACCCCACCCGCATGCAAGCCCCATGCGTGCACACCAGCCCCACCCGCATGCAAGCCCCATGCGCGCACACCAGCCCCACCCGCATGCAAGCCCCATGCGCGCACACCAGCCCCACCCGCATGCAAGCCCCATGCACGCACACCAACCCCACCTGCATGCAAGCCCCATGCGCGCACACCAACCCCACCCGCATGCAAGCCCCATGCACGCGCATCTCCAGGACGGGGCAAGAGCAGGGGATACGAGGTGGCTTCAATCCCGGCAGGCAGGTTGAGTGAGGGTTGTGCTTGGCAGCGAGGCCCACTCGGCAAGGTTGGCACGGGCTGTGTGGGGCGCCCATGCCGCTTCACGACACACCTCAGTCCCACCGCCTGTGCCCTCCCGACCCGATCCCACCCCCTCCCCCCGGTCTCACCGGATTCACCCACGCAGCACTCTCCCGTCACCTCGTATCCTTTCGTGGGCACCTGCCAGTCACACGCATGGGACTGGAAGCACCCACCTTTGCGCACGTAGGGTCGCAGGCACGTCGCAGCGGGGTCGGCCAGGGGCCCAGCAGAGGCAGCGCGGATGGAGGCGGGGCGCGGGGGGAGCGCCGCCAGCAGGCGCAGCTCGAACTCGCACAGCGCGCTGCTCCTGGCGGACGCAGGGGGGGGGGGTTAGTGGAGAGAGAAAAGGACAGCGAGGCGTTGAGGGAGCAGCGTGACTCGCGGACGGAGAATGCGAAGAATGACATCGGCGATACTTAATTACCAGGTTAGTGCTTCTAACGAGGGAATGAGTCCGCGGGTGGCGCGGGACCACTGGTCGTGGCTGCAGATCTGCCGCGAGTCCATCAGCAGGAACCCCGACGGGTCTGACGACGTCCAACCGCCGTCTGACCCCGTCTCTGCTGACGTGGCGTCATCTAATCCGCTAGTTGGCAAGGAGCCACGGCCCGTGTAGTGGCGGCCGTTGAAGATGCTGCAGAGGGTGAAGTTGAGCGACAGACACAGGAACGTCGCGCGCACGGCACGCATTCTGGCGGCCGTCAGAGGCCCTGGTCAGCGGGAGATGCAGGGAGGGTTCCACAGCACGGAGTTGCACGACGCTGTACTGTTGAGCCTTCATACATGCTGGGATATGGCAACTCTCGAGGAGAAGTGAACGAGCTCAGGGCTGTTGTGCCTGCTTTAGTGAAAAGACCTTCCACATCTACAGCAAAGAAAATAAAAATATACTCAAATCCGTTTTTGAATTCTGGATAAAGCTGCATACATATGGCGCGTGATAACCATAGATGCGCTCTAATAGGTGTGACCCCGTTTTGTTGCTTCTATACAATGGACTTCCTCTTATGGTTACTTTCTCAACATATTTATAATACATAAAGACATGCGAATTCATGTTTTTATACAACCCTACTAAAGTTGTGGAGATTGGACCAACTCGCTCCATGAATTGCGGAGTCTATATGGTGCTGCTTAATGTTGAAGTAAACTCGACAGAGTTACCGTTTATGCATTCCTGATAATACTTAGGGCGCATTCCTATGAAGTAGGATCAGAATCAATTATGTTCCTGATCCTGCCGTTTTGCTACGCGTAGATCAACAATCCGAGAAAACGATCGCAAGTGAGTTTCGTGTGCGACCTGGATGTTTCGCACGATCATACGTGTACACCCCTTTCAACACAAAAATATCACATCGACTGCCTAAACTTGAGCATACAAGTTAATAGTACAGTTGTAAAATCCTCGTCACGCCGAACCAGACAGGGAAGTGCACGCTCCAATCATGAGCAAGGGATTTTCGAAGCCAGCAAAAGCACAAACAAAATGCGTTTTTTTTTCCCGCTGTGTGCCATATGTGATTTTCGTTTTTTTTTTTTTTCATTTTCGTTTCGCTGCGTGTCGCTTGTCAGCGCGCTGTCGTTTGCTTGGCGCGAGTTGGGGCCTGTCCCAAATGTGTTTGTAGGAGCAGCCAATCGGACGTCCCCGTGCGACGCTGAGGTGGCTGCCCTCGTTTCTGGTCTTGGCGGAACAGACAGGAAAGGAGATCAATAATGAAATTCGCGTTTCTGATTCTGGTCCTACTTTGTAGGAATGCGCCCTTAGACTGTACTAGTAGCGCGATACTGTCAAACATGTGTATTTGTCATATTTGTATAGACTGTATAGGGTCGCCTCTTAGAGAGTACAACACTTAGGTATATCTGTGTGTACTCTCACTCTATCAAATATTCACTTCTAAATTTTGATATGGTATCACGCGTAGGTAGGATCCCCCCCCCCCCCCCCCCACCAACCGCTTCCGCTCACCCCTCCCTAGCCCCGTCGCAACCCCCCTAGCCCCGTCGTGCCCCATCCTGGGCCCTGTAGCGCCCCTCCTGGGCCCCGTCGCACCCCTCACTGGGCCCCGTCGCGCCCCTCCCAGGCCCCGTCGCGCCCCTCCTAGGCCCTGTAGCGCCCCTCCTGGGCCTCGTCGCGCCCCTCCTGGGCTCCGTAGCGCCCCTCCTGGGCCCCGTCGCGCCCCTCCTGGGCCCCGTAGCGCCCCACATGGGCCCCGTCGCGCCCTTCCTGGGCCCTGTAGCGCCCCTCCTGGGCCCCGTCGCGCCCCTCCCAGGCCCCGTCGCGCCCCTCCTGGGCTCCGTAGCGCCCCTCCTGGGCCCCGTCGCGCCCCTCCTGGGCCCTGTAGCGCCCCTCCTGGGCCACGTCGCTCCCTTCCTGGGCCCTGTAGCGCCCCTCCTGGGCCCCGTCGCGCCCCTCCCAGGCCCCGTCGCGCCCCTCTTGGGCCCCGTAGCGCCCCTCCTGGGCCCCGTCGCGCTCCTCCTGGGCCCCGTAGCGCCCCTCCTGGGCCTCGTCGCGCCCCTCCTGGGCTTCGTAGCGCCCCTCCTGGGCCCCGTCGCGCTCCTCCTGGGCCCCGTAGCGCCCCTCCTGGGCCTCGTCGCGCCCCTCCTGGGCTTCGTAGCGCCCCTCCTGGGCCCCGTCGCGCCCCTCCTGGGCCTCTGTAGCGCCCCTCCTGGGCCCCCGTCGTGCCCCTCCTGGGCCCCGTCGCACCAGCCCGGCCCCGTCGCACCAGCCCGGCCCCTGCACGCCCGCCTGGCCCCGTCGCAGCCGCCCGGCCCCGTCGCCCCCTGCCCGGCCCCGTCGCAGCCGCCCGGCCCCGTCGCACCCGTCCGGCCCCGTCGCGCCCGCCCAGCCCCGGTGCGCCCCTCCTGGGCCACCGTCCTGCTCGCCCGGCCCCGTCGCACCGGCCCGGCCCCGTCGCACCAGCCCGGCCCCGACGCACCCGCCCGGCCCCGTCGCGCCCGCCCGGCCCTGTCGCGCCCGCCCGGCCCCGTTGCACCGGCCTGGCCCCTGCGCTCGTCCCTGCCCCGGCCCCGGTCCTCCTCACTGGTACGGTTCTCTCTCCCCCCCCCCCCCTGCAACGTACTGCTCCGCACCGTACTGCCCTGCACTGCACCGCCCCGCACCACCCTGTACTGCCTGGCACCGCACTGCACCGCACTGCACCGCACTGTACCGCACGGCACCGCACTCCACCTTGCTGCACTGCCCTGCACCGCACTGCACTGTTCCTGATTGTGAGAGTACGACACCGTTACACCAATTTCCCCTTTCCATATTTCATTTCTATTTCATTCCTCTTTCACTCCTGATTCATTTGGTCTTTATCTCATCTCATTTGGTTTCCTATTCCTCATTTTCCATTATCCTTGGGTTTATCCTATTATTATGATTATATCACCGACCAGGCTCGGGATGTACTGGCGCGCTCTATCTAGCGTAATCCTGCCGTAATCCCTTAAAGCCAATAGCCTCGCGTGGCTATACGCAGGGTGATTCTATTTCTAGAAGGGTCTATTCCCTTTGGATAGGATAAGCCTGGTTACCTCATGTATTCTGGAAGTATAAAAGCACCTTGTACTGAATGATAGTGCAACATTGAGCAAACCTTTCCTCGGGACATTCGATCCTGTGACACTTGGTAATCAGAGCCAAGGTTTCAGCTCAACGCTTAACCGCTGGGCCCCCAGGAGCACGCCGAGGATGGAGTCGAAACTTCAATTCCTGTAAGTACAATGCACTTTCGTTTAAGTTTCGACTAACCTCGCGCAGTTGCACCTGGGGTCCCCTTCGAAGGCGAGATGCCTCGCCGACCGTTCGATGGACTGCATCGACGGTGCCGTTTTTTCGCGGGGGCAAACGGGCCTCGACCTCGCGATCGCGTCAGTTCCGGCGGAACACTCCCTGCGACATTCGGAGAAGTTCGCAGTTCGCGACAACACTTGGAGTTGCGCGGAACTCTGCGGAGGTTCGACCGACGACATCCGTCCGATGGGGATTCGACGCTTCAGATCAACCGAGGCGAAAACGAAATCCTGCTGAGAGAGATCGAGTTTCATCGCGAATGGGAACGGGACCTCGCAAGCCGCGAAGTTCTTCGGGACGTCCGGTCGTTCGACAGCCGACATCGACGACCGAGAATTGCTGCAGGAAACGAGTCAACCCGTGCACCGAAAGCTGCTGAACGCGACTCAGGAGGCTCCTCAGAACGCTTGGAGTTTGGACCGTCGGATCGGATCCTACTTCAACGGACGAGATGGAGCGTGATTTCTGCACGAAGGGAGAATGACGCGCAGAACCAGAAATCAGCCTCCTTCGACACCGCTGACATCATCTGGACAACCAGATTCGAATTTCTTCATTCGGTGACGAATTTGGCGCGCAAATCATCTGCGGAGTCAGAAATCTGCCAGAGTATTACCTACTTGGTAAAATCTGCAAGCAGAAAAATGACAGGAGAACGTGGATCGTCGGATCGGTGCGGAATCAACGGCACGAATGCAGCAGAGACTACACTTATGGGAAATCATCATGGAGACAACATTGGTGACCAGCAACTGCACAATCGACGCATCAACTAGTGTCGATAACGATCGAGTAATTTTGACGAAGTCGTCTTCGTTAAAAATGGATCGACATCAACACAGCGGATCTTCACCCAGGGAAAACAATGGAGCTGCGTGAAGACATGTTCTCCATCCACGAGACACTTCTTCATACAAATTGATCGACAGCCTATGGGATTGCAGAGAAGTAGCCGTTTTCTCTTGCAATATTCCCAACATCAAGTTGCTGCGAAGGAGCAGATTTCGCACGCAACGATGACGCAGTGAACCCGTCTCGTCAAGGCCAGCGAGACACTACTTCGTAACAGGAGCTGAACGATTCGTCTTCATCAAGAATCTCAGCCATCCGAGGTGATTGATTGGAGCAGTCTCAACATCGACCTCACGAGGCAACACACCAATCATGCGTCGCGATTCCATGTGTTAATGACCTGTGTGGAAGAAAATTCCGTGCACGTCACGATGCTTGACAGATTGAGGAGTAATTAACCTCTAATCCGGCAAGTACTCGCTCACTAGCGACCCTACGGCACATGCGTTGGAGGCGATTCTACCAGAAGCCGAAGCGTTACAAGCACCAACGTAACTTCGACGATGCAGGAGAACGTCAAGCAACACGAGGTGTCAACAAATGAGGGAGATGCGGACTACTACAACACGATCACGCGCTCTACCGACCGTACATCGGAGGCACGGATGAGCATACCAGGAATTGCTACCCGTGGATACATCGAGGGGAGAAGCAAATTTCTCTTCACACCCTCAAATGAAACAATCACCGGCAGCAATGGAGCAACACATGTGTACCAATGTGCACGTGTTCCTGGTAGTTACGCCTGTTACACCCATCAGGAACACTCTACTGGGAAGGGGGAGTTGATGGATTCTCCTTCAACCGGTACGAGTTAAGAGAATTCTCTGCAGTAGCTGCCGCCGTCGCCGTCGTCGCAACCGCCGCCGCCGCCACAGCAGAAGACTCGACACAACAGTCACAACCAAATCCTGATGGATGATTCTCCACTCAATGGAGATAATGCTGGATTATATTCCAGTGGATCGTAAAGTCCCGGCCAGGCACAGTACTATGATTTCCAGCTAGTGGGAAGGAGATACCACTATGCGAGGAAACAACATGGCAATGCCATATACCCTCAAGAGCAGAAGATATTTGCTCTTATGAGGATGGGAGGACCACGGTACTCTACAGGTATACAAGTCCTCATGGCCTATGGCTT